TGGCGTGATCTCGGCTCACTGCAAGCTCCGCCTCCCGGGTTCACGCCTTTCTCCTGCCTCAGCCTCCTCAGTAGCTGGGACTACGGGAGCCCGCCACCTCGCCAGCTAATTTTTTTGTATAAAGTAGAGACGGGGTTTCACCGTGTTAGCCAGGATGGTCTCGATCTCCTTACCTCATGATCTGCCCGCCTCGGCCTCCCAAAGTGCTGGGATTACAGGCATGAGCCACCGCGCCCGGCTTGGCCTGTCTCAGCTTTAAAACCTAAAGTCCTGCATCCCAAGAAAACCTCTAGTCCAGGCAAACCTAGGTGGTCACTCTTGGATGGAGTTAGGATTTCCAGTGGTCTTGGACAGAAGGGCGATCTCTCCCTTGAGCTACCAAAGAAGGCGGAGAGATGAAGAGCAGGATTAAACAAACAAGTGTGCGGGCTTTGGAGCCAGGGCAAAGCTCTGCCTCTTAGCTGTGTGATCTTCTTGAAATTATTTAACCACTCAGATTCAGTTTCCTGTAACTTGCGGATAATTAAACAAGAATGAGCCGTGTGAAAGTGCCTATCTAACTGTAGTAGGCTCGCAACAAGAGTTTAAATCGTTTTTATTCATCCCCGGTCCTAACTGTTGCCGCTGCTCTGTGTTCCACTCTTCTATCATCTTTAATTTCTCTCCTTGACTGGTTTCAACTTTGTTCTCTCTAGTCCCTGTCGGGTCGCTCCTGCCACTCACGTTGAGTACCATCCACCGCTAGAGGGCAGAATAGAACAAACCAAGATGGGTGCCCCTCTAGCTCTCTATGGCGTCTGCTCGCCGAGCCCCCTGAAGGAGGCGGGGATTCCGTCATGTGACTGGGGTGCCGGGCGCCGGCGCAGGCGCGGTTGCTGCGTCGTCGTCGCCGGGCTCCGTTGCCCGCGCTGTTTTGCGTTCTTGAGGCTTGAGGCGGCCGCTGGGGGGTCCTGTGGCTTTCCCTCCTGCCGCTGGGGACTGCAGGCTAAGGCCATGTCCCGAAAGCAGGCGGCGAAGAGCCGGCCGGGCAGCGGCAGCCGGAAAGCCGAGGCCGAGCGCAAGCGGGACGAGCGGGCTGCTCGCCGGGCCCTGGCCAAGGAGCGGCGGAACCGGCCGGAGTCCGGCGGCGGCGGCTGCGAGGAGGAGTTTGTCAGCTTCGCCAACCAGCTGCAGGCCCTGGGGCTGAAGCTGCGGGAGGTGCCGGGGGACGGGTGAGGCGGGCCGGGAGCGAGGGAGGCGGCGCCGGGGGACGCGCCGGGCTCGGCCTGGCGACCGTCACCCGCTCGCGTCCATCCATTCATTCGGGCTGCCCGGGCGCCTCCCGTGCAGGACGTCCAGCTGCGAGCGAGGCGGACAAGCCTCTCGCCCCGAGACGCTCGCGGTGATCCCAGAGGGTCCTAATCATGGCAGACGCCGCGAGCGAAATAGAAAGTGGGTCCTGAGACCGTATACGGGAGCAGAGTCACTGGGTTGTGGCCAGGAAGGGCTCTCTGAAAGGTGACATTTAAGCTGAGTTCTGAAGGAATGAGATGGAGCCAGGCATTGGAAAAACAGTCATCATGAGGATAAGACCGATCGAAGGAGTTTGAGTAAGCCCCGCTTGGTAGAACGCTTTGCCTCCTTTGAGTCCTTGGTGGTTGGGTGATGCCCCCATTTACATTTGTGAAATTAGGTCGCCTGTTGTTTACTGAGCTGAAGGCAGCTTCTCTAATTCCTGCTTCCATGGGCCTCAGTTTCTCTGTAAGCAAAGGTGCTTACCCAAGTCTTCATGGGACTTAGACTGAATCCAGGTCCAGCTTTCTTTAGGGAATGCGGAGGGAGAGAGTGGGGAGGAGGAAGAAAATTACCTTCAAGAAAGAGGATATGCTCCGGGAACATGGATGGAAGAAGGAAAAGGGTCAGGAAGAGAGGAGAACTGTGAGCATCCCCATTGCAGGGGCAGGTAAAAGGTTATCTGGTTGTCAGCTGTGTCACTTTGGAAGACGGAGTGTTAATAACAGCCTGGCTTTTGTTTTTTTCCTCCCAGTATTTGAGTGCTCAGGTCCTGCAGAGGGAAGACTAAAATGAAATTAAAGACCATACGGAATTGCCTTAGTTCATTATTATTGTTGATTTGTAGAGACGGGGATTTTGCTATGTTGCCCAGGCTGGTCTCGAACTCCTGGCTTCAAGCGATCCTCCTGTCTCGGCCTCCCAAAGTGCGGAGATTACAGGCATGAGCTACCACCCCCAGCCAGGAATTGCTTTAGATATTAACTGCAGAAGAAGGTGTTTTAAAAAATCTCACATTACATTGCAGCTTATTGATCAAGACCGAACTGGTCCTATTTCCCTTTCCCACCGTTCCTATATATGCTCATTGCTTCAGGCAAAAAGAGTTCACCACACTTTGCTGCGTTGCTGTTTTTGCTTAAGATGCAGTTGGAACTTGATTACATTTATTCACCATCATCTGGCATAGTGCTTGGTACATGGAAGGCAGTCAGTACATTTTTGCTGAATGAAATATAAAAATAATAGAGGGAGACCAGCTAGCCTAAGCATAAGCACAAGACACTGTTATAGAAACAAAAATACCATTTGTATACAGTGGAATTGCTGTGGAACATGGGGGCTTTTCCTTACAAATGATTGAATTGTTTGTGTCTGCTGTGCTGGATGTAGTATTCTCAATGTCAGGGTGCCCGGAAAACTTAAGTACTCAATAGAAGGTTACTTAGGAGGAGGAATCAGCACAAGGAGTTGTAAATTCTTGAGCTGGCTTTCATAAGGTTATGGGAAACTTTGGGGGTATTACTTCTCTCTATCCCCACACACCCATACACACACAGCATACTTCTCAAGTTAATTCAGCACGCCTTAAGTAAGGTGCTGGGAATATGTTGATGACTAAGATAGTTAAGGACTTTATAGCCGAAGGTAGAAACATGTAACAATGGGTCTCAGCTTTTTTGATGTTAAGATCTCTTGGAATTCTTAAAAATTACTGAGAAACCCAAATAGCTTCTTTATATGGGTTATAGCTATGAGTATTTACTATATTAGAAAGTAAAACAAAGTTTTAAAACACAAGAATACACACACATTCCATTAGCGATCGGAGTGATAACTTCATGCATCAGGTAGCCTCTGGAAAACTCCACTGTGCACTTGCGAGAGAATGAGAATGAAAAAGGCACATTACATCTTAGTTTTGAACTCATGGATACTCTGAAAGCATATCAGAGACCTTCCCACATCTCCTGTCCCTTGGGCCACACTTTGAGAACAGATGATACAAATAATTAAAATATAGTTTGATATATTTTTATTAACAGTGACTGATTATAATGGTACTATTGAGAAGGAAAAGGCAGTAGCCTCTGAATTGGCCAGGAAGGCCTTCTCATTCATTCGGTAAATACTCATTGAATTCACTGCCAGCTGCCTCTCAGAGGGTGTCATAGTCTGGGTCATGAAGGACCAATAGGAGTACACCTAGAGAACATTCCCATCTGAGGAGGAGTGTATACAGAGGCACAAGGATGCGATGTTTTTGGGAGATCTACGGGTTGTTCAGGGTGACAGTAGTGTAGGGCACAAGGGTAGAAGTAACAGGCAATGAAGCTCCAGAGACCAGCTGGACTGGAGTGCTCATGTCTCTCTTCCAAGGCCCCTGTTCTTCGGACAGTGTTGGATAAAATGATCATATTTCCTCTTGTGTGGGCTTCATGGAGCTAAGCACCTTGTGTACACAAGTCCTTCACATGAGTTCCATTAGCTGGACCGTGGTTCAGCCCTCGTCAGTATCATAGTCCTTTCAAATGTGGTGATGACAGACTTTATCACTGCAAGGGATGGTGTTTCCTGTGTATGTGATGGGCTGGCAGGTGTCAACAGATTCTTCTCCCCGCCCCCCAGACAGAGTCTTGCTCTGTCACCCAGGCTGGAGTGCAGTGGCACGATCTCGGCTCATTGCAGTCTCCACCTCCTGGGTTCAAATAATTCTCCTGCCTTGGCCTCCTGAGTAGCTGGGGTTACAGGCACCCTCCACCACACCCGGCTAATTTGTTTGTATTTTTAGTAGAGATGGGGTTTCACCGTGTTGGTCAGGCTGGTCTTGAACTCCTGACCTCATGATCCACCCGCCTCAGTCTCCCAAAGTGCTGGGATTACAGGCGTGAGCCACCGCGCCCAGCCAACAGATTGTTTTATTAATATTTATTAAGGACTCAGAGTGAAATACAATGAAGTTAAAGACTATTAAAAGAATAGTTGACATCTCTAGCGTTCCCTTTTTTCATTCAGATGTGATTACAATCTGGAGTAGCCTGATAGAGTATCTGTGGGCATGTTCATTGTTGGCAGTATGGTACCTGTAGCATTCTGGAACCCAAGGGGATTTAGGGATGAATTAGCCAATATCCTGTAATATAGCCTTTACATGGGTTGAGTCAGCTTAGCATAGATTAATCAGGGAGCTACTTGGAGGGTTTCGTAGTGCTTCCTGGACCAGCTTCATATCTGGCGTGTTGTCTGAAAGGTGGACCCACATAAATTGGATTCATTTTTCAAAGCAAGAAAGAAACAGTTTAACCTTGATGTTGTCCTTAAAAACATGATTGGCTGTAGTGTGAAAAGAATGTATAACTCTATTTATTAGGCCACACAGTATTAACATCCCTCTGAACTACATCTAGTTGTGTCTTACTAAATGTAGTTCTGAGTTACGTTACTCATTAGCAGTGTCCTAAAACGGAAACACTGAAGAATCACTAATTTTAGCTATTTTTCTGTTACTAACAAGTAGTTTATTTTTTAATTTTAGTTTTGTGTTTAATATTGTAGGATCACAGTAGTAGAAGGGCATTCACACATCATGTCATCCAGTTAGTGCCTGTGTCACCTGAACGGCACTGCCATCTTTTGTGCCTCACTCAGTGGTTTTCAGTTGGGTGCCATGCTAGAATATCTGGGGAGGAACTTTTGAAACAGTTCAGGGCCTGGGCTCTCCCCTAGATCAACTACATCAGAATCTTAGAGTGGGGCCTGGTTATTGATGTTTTTTTTAAAAAAGAATTTTACAGATGATTCTTACATGCATCCATAATTGAGAGTGACTGATTTAGAGTCTAGATTCTTGACTAGTGTTTCTCAAACTTCAGCATGCAACATAACCACCTGGAGTGCTAGGGAAAACACCTGGAAGGGCTACATTGCTGGGCTCCAACCCCAGAATGCCTGATTGAGTAGGCCTGGGTGGGCCCCAGAATTTTCATTTCTAACAAGTGCCCTGGGGATGCTGATGCTCCTAGTCAGGGAACACACGTTGAGAATCAGTGAGCTAGATCAGTGCTGTCTAGTGAAAACAGAATGTGAACCACCTATGTGATACTAAAATTTTTCCAGTAACCACATTAAAAAGAAACAGGTGAAATGAATTTTAGTATATTTTATTTAAGCTATTATATGTAAAATATTACTATTTTGACATACAATTCTATAAAAAATTATTAATGATCTCTCATATTTTCTTTTTCTTTGGAGACAGAGTTCACTCTTGTTGCCCAGGCTGGAATACATGATCTCGGCTCACCGCAACCTCTGCCTCCCAGGTTCAAGCTACTCTCCTGCGTGTCAGCCTCCCGAGTAGCTGGGATTACAGGCATGCGCCACCACACCCAGCTAATTTTGTATTTTTAGTAGAGATGGGTTTTTCCATGTTGGTCAGGCTGGTTTCAAACTCCTGACCTCAGGTGATCTGCCCGCCTTGGCCTCCCAAAGTGCTGGGATTACAGGCGTAAGCCACTGTGCCCAGCCAATGATCTCTCATATTTTTTATATGACCTCTTCAGAATCTAGTATTTTACACAGATAGCACACGTCACTGTGGATTAGCCACGGCAGATGCTCAGTATACAGCAGGTGCTCAGTAGTCACATGCGGTTAGCAACCCCTATTAAAACAACACACATCTAGACAATTGCTGTGTATTGCTACTTACAGAAATTGGCAAAATCCTGAGTCTATATAGTCTACCTCTATCGAGCTAAGGTGAAATTACCTTTTATTTGCCAAAATCTATGTCTCTGTAGGAGCTTCCAGGTTTTAGTTTTATTATACAGGTATAATTTTAATTTCACATGACAGTTGGAGGTATTGATCATGTCCCCCTGAGCCTTCTTTAGGCCAAACATCACTAGTCGTTCTTCATAGTGTATTTAAAACCACATCATCTTATCTGAACACGTCTCTCTCAAAATACAGTAGCTAGAATGGTACCCAGGACCCTAACTGTGGTCTGACCTCAAATAATAAAACCTTCTCCTTTTCCACATATTTACTATTATGACTGCAGCCTAGAGAGCACATTAGGTTTTTTGGTGTGTGTGTTGCAATATCGTCTAATACTAAATTATTGCACACTCAAAACATTTGCATGCTCTTTATGTAATTAGTTGTTTTTGTGAACTCAAATGCAAGACCTGCCTTATATCCCTATAACACAGTGGTTCTCAAACGGGTGGTTTTGCCCTCCAGGGGACATTTGACAATGTCTAGAGACATTTTTGGTTGTCACAGCTGATGGGGAGGGAGGTAGTGATGTGCTAATGGCAGCGGCCAAGTGTTCTCCTAAACTTCCTACAGTGCACAGGAAGCCTCCCACAACAAAAAAATGATCCTGGAATGCCAATAGTGTGGAGATTGAGAAGCCCTGCTGTAGGTAATGGTGAGATTGTGAACTCAGGAAGTGGCCCAGATCTCATAGAGGCCCTTTGGGCAACGGTGCTTTGTTCTCATGAGTTTCTTGAGAGCTCTTGTTGGGCTCCCCTAGGGAAACCTAGGTCACTGGAGTGTTTGTTCATTACCTTGTAATCTTGTCAGAAGAGGAAGTGATTTGTCTATTTTGACTTGTTTTTGGTGAGCTCAAAGAGAGTTTGGTAAGTATAGAAAAGCATATAAAAAAATATAACAATTACTCTTAAATATTACCTTTAATTGTACTACCTAGGGGTAACTATGGCTATTATTTTGGTGTTGACATTGGAGTGAGAGCCACGTTATTTGGACTTGGATCCTGGGCCTACCGCTTACTAGTTTTATGACCTTGGGCAGGTTTCCCGTGAGGAACGGTAATAGGACCTTTCTCAGAGTTGTGAGGACTAAACATGTTTAATACATACATTGTGTTTAGAACAGTCCCTGGCACATTGTAAAAACTATTTAAGTGATTGTTTCTGTGTGTTTTCTTGGCATACGTTTGTGTGTGTTTCTGTCTGTGTATGTATATAGCGTACAGATGAGTATGGTTGAGCTCATGTGGCATATACATACAGTTTTACACCTTTTTTGGAGAACATTTGCTCAGGTTATTAAAAGTTCTTACCATACGACTGTAGAATACCATGAATTTTGGTACATTAAATGTAAAATAACTACATAAATTTGTGATAAATCACATCTCTTAAACTAAATTCAAGAATAGACTAATGGTGGCAGATACTGATTAAGAAAAATTGGAGAGAAAAGCTTGACATTTAAATTGTTTTATCGGTTAGCTTACTTTTCCCCGTGGTTAAAAAAAGACTACCATTGTCAGATTTTAGCAAGACACCTCAGTCTAGTCTATAGAACTTTATATTCCATTCCTTCTGGAATGTCGTCTTAGATTGTTGGAAAGCTTCTTGGTTTTTAATTTATAGAATCTGTCTTAATTCTCCCTTCCCCTGCAAAAAAAAAAAAAAAAAAAAAAAGTATATATTCTTATACATTAGAAGAGATTCCAGCCTTTCTATAGCTTTCTGTTGAAAATACACTTTTCTGAGTTGAAAAAAAAAAACCCTTTTTTCCTACACATTTAGACATGAAATCTTTCTGAAAGTGATGAGTTTATATTTTGGAATCACAGTGTCATAGTTTTTCATTTGGAAGAGTAAACAGTTGGGTGTAAAACTGGGCAACTGTTTGGCTTCAGAATTGTTTATTTCCATAGTTTTAAGGATACCAGATTGTGTTTGTCTTGTTTGAGTCTCTGTGTATCTAAGCCTCTGTGTTTGTGATAATTTGGAATTTAGAAGCCTTTGAGGGGTTTGAAAGTAAAGATAACTCTTACAGTTTATTACCAGTATTTTAATTTTAGAGAAACAAAATATGGTGTTTAAAGTTTTCATTTGGCAGGAATAACAATGGCATTGTTGCTCCCTGGGTGATCAGTGAGGAGGCGAGGAGGAAGTGTCTTTCCATAGTACAACTGTTTGTTGTCCAAGTGCTTTCCTTCTCATGACTTTCTCCACTGTGTTCTTAGGACTCAAACAGAGTATTGTTCAGTTGTTAGTATCGGGAGCTTGACAAATTGCTATTTTTTGGGTACTGTTTGTTAAATGAATGATTACTTAGCTGGGCAGCTGTAGTGGAACTTGTTTTAGAAAAGAGGCTCTAGATAGGACATCATTTTGGAAGAGGATCTGCAAATCATAGCCCTTAGGCATGGAATGACCTGTAAGGTCTGGACCTTGTAGTCAGGTGGTTAGTGTATCACCGGCTCCACTTGTTGAAGCAGCTGAGGCCCAGGGAAGTTTAATGACTCTCCTGAGTCAGCTAGCTGGTACATGGGGAATAGAATCCTTGTTTGCTGCCTCTCAATAAGGTAATGTGGTTGAATATGCCCTGGTGCTGTCCCCCGTGGTCTTGGAAGAATCCTGGACTGTTAGAGTTGAGTCTTCACTTCTGTGTGCCCAAAATATTTCCATGGATGATCTGGCATGAAGCGTCATTGTTTTAGATGAACTGAGTTCATTTTTGAAAGGTCTTGACTCATGTTGTTGTTTTGACAGCAATTGCTTGTTCAGAGCTCTTGGTGATCAATTGGAGGGACACTCACGAAATCATCTCAAGCACAGACAGGAGACAGTGGACTACATGATAAAGCAACGCGAAGATTTTGAACCCTTTGTAGAAGATGACATTCCTTTTGAGAAGCATGGTAGGTTCACTGTGGAACATTGGGTCCTTCAGGAGTAATGCATTGGGTAATTAAGTCCACTGGCATCCTCCACCCTCCCAGCCAAGGGTTTGGTTATATAAATCACGACATTCATTTATTCAGCAAATAATTGTTTGCCTACTTGGTCGGCGGCAGCATGCTAGGTAGCTGGAGATCAGTAGGTTTAGCGGTATATGCCCTTAATAAACATGATAATGTTCATTGACCTGAAAAGCGATTCATGACTTCTTCCTCAGTGGGGTGGGAACAGCAGGCTATGACATAGCTTGTATAGATTGATCCTATTTTTAAAAGGTATACAGACACAGCAGGAAAAGTCTGGAAAGATACTGTTTGTTAATTCTTAGCTTCACTTATTTTTCAGAAATTACTCATTCTCTTTAAACTTCTATAGAAGGGAGATAATAATAGCATCTATCTCATAGGGTTTTTGGTGAAGATTAAATTAGATAACAAAATTAAAATAAGCCCTTAGTAAGCGTTAGCCATCTGGGGATCGTGGGACTATGGTATTTTAAATTGTCTTCTCTAGACTTTTTCTGACTTTTGGATGATCATGTATTACTTTTAAAATTAGAAAAACCAATAAAATCATGTTAATTTCTCACCAAAACCCCAAACACAATCTGTTTTCTTTGAGGCAAATCAGTTAGTGATTTTAGTTGGTTCCTGTTTAATAGGCATAGATCTTACAGAAAATGCATATGAACTTGTAAACTTTAATTTCAACAAATATTTACTGAGAATCTACTGTGCTCGCTGCTGATATGTTTTACAAATGGCATTTTCATCACAGGGCTCATAGTCTTTTCTGTCTGTTGTCAGGAAAGGGGATTGATCCTTTTATTTTAGCGAGCTAACTCTGGAGGCCATGCCGAGAATTGATGGGGAGGGAGACTGAGCAGGGAAACTAGTTAGAAGGTCTCCACACTGGCCAGATGAGAGTAGAGGAGGTCTCCATCACGGCAGCTACTGAGGATAGTGAGTAAGGCCCAAACCAAGCCACACTTTGGCAGTGTAATTGACAGGACACATTGGAGGTGAGGAAGATAGAGGGAGGAGACGAGTGATTCTGAAGTTCCTGCTTAGGGAATGGGTAGATGACTGTACCGTTAGCAAGAGAGAGGGCAGCAGGAGGGGAACATTTGGGAGAAAAGCTATCAGTGATCCCAAAACCTTTCCCATTCCTCACTAGGAAAGAACTTACTCAGTAGGCACCAGACACGGAGCAACCGAACTTCCAGTGGGTGGTTTGTACCAGTCACTGAGTTCAGATGGTCTCTCTTCCTGGAATTACTTTTTGGTTATCAGATAGACATAGTTTACTGGATAGTCAGCAGTTTACAAATTAAATGTATGTATATGGGACAAATTTTGTAGTTTAGTGCTGTATGAAATGAATTGTGTCATTAATCCTGTGAAAACATCATTTTGGATGAAATGAGTTTTTAGTTTGTGATGTGAAACTCCACTTTGAACACTGTCAGTGAAGATCACATGGTGGATTTGGGAGTGTTACAGGATAGGGAAATCAGATCTTCAGTTGCCAATGTGATAGTCACTGTAGATGAACAGTGGAAAGGTGTTTTCTTGAAATGGCACTATGCATACCTGTTGCTTGGAGCTGCTTAAGAATTTGAGCATCACAGAAGTAAGACGTGACTTTGACGGCCAGAGCAGAAATGAAAAAAAACATGGAAGTCTGCACATTGTCGTTGTGTGTCAGTTGAAGGCTTGGCTTATTACATTGATCAGTCTTGAGTCAGCGTTACCTGTTTTTAATGTCAGTATGCCTACCTTGTTGTACTGTGAGATTCTTGAGCAGGGACTGTGTGTCTTTGTTTTGCGGTGTGGCAGTGCCCAGCATCTGGTAGGCATTCATAAAGTATTTGTTGAGTGAATAAATGAATGGTTCACTAGACTATTGAGGACCTCATCACCCTTGCATCTGGCTGTATCTTTAGGCTTATTCTTTTCTTTTAGACTGTGGCTTCAGAGAATCAGCAACATGTTTCTCCCAACTCTACAGATATCCAGATCAGAACCTGAGTATCTTAATGTTTATCTTCCTCCCTCCTCATACCCCTTCATTACATCTTATCACTCTACTTCAGTAGTTTTTCTTTCACTGCTACTGCCCCATAAAATCAGACCTCTGTGGCCATTTGCTTAGATCTCCTGAATACTGTTTGGTATCGTCGTCTCTTGATTCCCTCACTCTGTTTTCTACATAACAGCCAGAGTGAGATCTAAATGTGTTTTTCCTCTGTCTAAAACCTGTTGATGACTCCCCTGTTGACCTCAGGATAGAGCCCAGACTTTTTAGTTCTTCATGATCTGGGATTTTCTTATTTCTATGTCCTCATCTCTTGCCATTCCCCTCAGTGTTTTCTCACTTCCTCCACCTCTCCATCTCAGCATTCTCAGTTCCTGCCATACTAGAGTTTTCTCTCTCTCTCTCTCTCTCACATCTGTCTCTCCTCTACTTAGAACATCATCCATTTCTCCTGTCTTAACTCCTCCTTGTGCTTTGGGTATTAGCTTAGTTGTCTCAGTTGAGAAGCTCCTCTGATACACCTTACCTCCCCCTCCTCAATTCCTCAATTCTTGTATCACCTGGAGTTAGCCAAACTGTAGGGTTTGAGAGCACAGTCCTTGCATGACTTCCCTCAACTTTTGGTACCATCTACAAGTTGGGGTCTCCCAGAACCTCCCTTAGATTCCGTAATATGGTAGTAGGACTCACAGAACTCACTGAAAGCTATCATGCTAACAGTTATGGTTTGTTACAGGGAAAGGATACAGATCAATACTACTAGCCAAAGGAAGAGATGCATAGGGCAATCTGGAAGGGTTCCAGACACGAAGCTTCTGTTGTCCTCAGGGCATATTCTCATGGCGTCTGTGTGTGACAGTACACACAGAATATTGTCACCTGGGGAAGCTTACCCCAACTTTGGTGTTCAGAGGCTTTTGCATATTGATTTATTGTCTAGGTGGTTGAACTCAGTCTCCCCTCTCACCCTATCACCACCACAAAGGTCTGATGCCGGATGTGGTGGAGGGGCCCATCATAAATAACAGATACTCTCATCACCTTTGGGAATTCCAGAGGTTTAGAAGCGACCTCCCAGGAGCCCAGCATAAAGGCCAGACCTCTCTTTGGGCAAGGCCAAATTCTTACTGTACATGCCCTTCCCGAAGCACTTGTGCATCGTTAGTGCCTGTCTTGTTTGCCCCTCACTGGTTGTGAACTCTGCGAGGGCAAATTGATGGAGTGGCTGAGAGCCAGGACCTTGGCATTGGGCTGCCGAGGTGAAACCTCAGCTCCACTGTGTATCAGCTCTTTGACCTTGGCACAGTTTTCAGCTATTTTGCATCTGAGTTTCGTCATGTATAAAATGGTGTGTATAATAGTAGTTGTCTATGAGACGTGATTAGACCAGTGCTTGACACATAATAACCATTCAGTAATGCAAGCTGCTAAGATTACTGTGTTGATTGGTATGTTCCCAGTGCCTTTTATTGAGTTAGCATATTGGAAGTAATCAGTAAACATTTATTGAAGGAAGAAATAAATGGATCTTTACTCTATGAATGACTAGTGTTCTTCTCAGTAGCAGTCTTTGTATTGTTCAACTAGCTGAATTCCTAGATTCTGACAAAGTTAATGGACTTTTCCAGATCTATATCCTTGTTTCTCATTATTTGGAACTCAGTAAATACCAAAGCATGTTTGCATTTGGATTTTTCCACTATAAAGACATCGTTTTTCTCTCCTATTTCCATGCAGTGGCCAGTTTGGCAAAGCCTGGTACTTTTGCTGGCAATGATGCAATTGTAGCCTTTGCAAGAAATCATCAGTTGAATGTAGTGATTCATCAGCTTAATGCCCCTTTGTGGCAGGTAGGTCACCTGTTTAAACATTTATCTTAAGCTCTTGTTTCTAAATCAGTTTTGGGAATATCCGAAGATGATGGGGCTTGACCTGTGAACATGGAATTATGCAGAGTGACTGGACTGTGAGCCTAACCAAAGACAATATTGTTGTGGTGGCTCAGAAGTAATCCCTGTGCTATGTACAAATGGAGTCCAGAGTATAATTTAGAAATCTTTTAAAATGCTATACATATTCAACAGTCAGCTAATTGGGCAGGTTGGGGACAGAGAACCTAGTGTGGAAACACAGGCCACCACCCCCTAAAGTCAGTGCTGCTTATTGTTTTGTACCTCAGCTCCTAAAGACTGAGCATGTGGTTTCTGTTAATTCCCCACCCACCCTGCCCTGCTCCACGACTCCCCGATTTCTCACTTTTACTAATTAAAAAGTTAAAATACAGTACTTGTAGAAAAGTTAGAAAATTGAAAAAGCTCATAAAGGGAAAAAATTTTATTAAAAATTACATTTAAAATTTTATTGAATCACCCAGAGAGAGATTGCTGTTAATGTTTTAGTGAGTATTCCTGTCATTCATACGCACTTAGCTATAAAAACATTGATACATAACTGGAAAGGAACATACCACAATGTTTTTACACACTTTTAAAACACACACACGTATCCATATCCACATACATATGGACACTTCTGTGTTATTAGCATAAAAGTAACAGTGCCCTTTTTTTCATATGATACCTGCATATATTCTTTTGTAAATTGCTCCGTCAGTCTTTGCCTATTAAAAATAGGTTTATAGGGATATAATTTACACGTAGCAAACTTCATCCTCTTCCAAGTGTACAGTTCTGTGTGTTTTGACAAACAGTCATGTAACCACCACTACTATCAACACACAGACTACTGTGGAAAAAGTCACTTCCACGCTCTTTGTACTTTGTAGTCACTAGCCCCCTCCCCCAATACCCAGCCTCTTGTAGCCCATTCTCTGATTTGTCCTTATAGCTTTGCTTTTCCAGAATGTCGTATTAAAGAATGCAGCCTTTTGTCCCTGGCATAGTGTCCTTTTAACAAAATTATGCTGCAACAAAATAAGATACTCCAGGGAAGGTGAGAAATTTTACCTTATGGGGATAGAATGAGCAGGAGTGAAACAGTATCTGCTTGTGTTCTTTGGGGCCGTGTTGCGGATGTCCTGACATCAGGATACCAGATAGAGCTATCATATTTTCCATGGGGCTCTCTTTTCTAAGGGTGATGTTTGAGCAAGAATACTGGTTACTCCTTTGTTCTATTTTTTGTCATTAAACTTACACTGTTTTGCAGAAGTTATCAAAACCATTTGAATACCCAGCATAATGACCCTCACCTTGAAGGAGAATACTCAGTACCAACTCTGTAATCAGCTTGCCTTTTCCTCCACTGATGACTTTTTTCCCAAAGTTTCTTAGTTACCTAGGTAGTTGTGGAAGACAATTCTGCATAGGTAAAATTTTTTTTCAAATATATTTCTGTAGTGTTCTGTTTCATAAATTCCTGAACATTGAAAGTACATCTTCTTGAAATAAATTTACTAATATTTCCATTGGATCCCCCTATGTCTTCCTACCCCAGTGAAACATCTTGCAAAATTTAAGAACTGAAACTGCATTGGTTGCTACTGTCATGGTTATGAGCTCTTACATTAATAAAGAGTCGGCTTACACTCGTACCATGGAGTTATTGAAACCTACATTTTTTTTCTGGTTATAATTGGAATATGTGTTCCGGTGAACAGTCTAGATGTATGTAACATAGAATGTGAAAGTCCTCTGTAATCTGCCCATGAAAGTCACAGTTAACAATTTGGTGAATATTCTTCCAGTTATGTTTTCTATTCATCTATGCTATTCATGTATATATATCTTTATTATTAAGTATGTAAGTGCTTTAGGGATTATGTCATTCCAAGATTCTAATAAACTGTTTGCTTTCACATTGCTCTTCCTGGGAGACAAATGGTGCTCTCTGTTTTGTGTGTGTCTAAACCAGACTCTCCGCATTTGAGATCTACGTATTCTACTGGAAAAACCTTCCACAGTACTGACATCTAGACTTGTGTGCTTCCTGTTTGTTCCATGGCTTTTGCTTTGTTTTTAGACCATGGATACTGTTTAAGTTAAGGGTAGTATCTTACTACCTGTGATTTTCAGTAAAAAGAATGTGCTGATGTTTTGGAGTTTAAACAAAGGAACCGTTACTGGGCTTTCTAAGGGACAGAGTCAGAAGGAGAGTTTGTGTGGAGGTGGCGAGTTTTATTTGGGGTATGCCCAGACCTTAGGGCTTCTGTTCTGCACAACTCTAGGGAGCCCCATTCTTGTGCTGTGCGTCAGGGGATTAGTTCACATAGAATACCTTGTGGTGGCGCCTCCAGGGTTGAGCAGTGCAGGCCATACTACACCATGTAATTGTGCTTTGAAGTTGATGTAGGTGGGAGGTTTGGGTTTGTTGATAATGTTTCTCACTTAGGTGGTTAACAGAAAATGCTATGTTCGTTTTAATGAAAGGGGTGGATTTACCTTGAAGCTAATGAAGTGTCAGGCCACTCATTTCTAGGACTCCCTTTCTAGGGCTTGGGAGAGGTTCTACCAATTTTATATTTATAATTTTGCATTTTTTTTTTTCTCAAAGAGAGCCTTCAAATAGTTAGGGCTTCAAGCTCAACAAATCTGGATCTGCCCCTGGGCTTTCCCCGTGGAAGGGGCTTGTGCATTAGTGGGGCTAAGAGGTAATCAAGCCTCTGAAGCTTAAGCTTATTTAACTTCATTGCAAGTCTGTCCCTGGTTTTTGAATTTCTTACATGGATTTATTTCCATAGAGTTACATATTAAATAAGCATATAGAAGCATACACGCGTAGGAAGGAGGTAGTTTGGAAATTGCTTGTGACAGACAGATCCCAGGCATGTTCCCAATTAGTGTCTGCATAGACCTGCTGACTGGGCTTCCTCAGCAGGCCAGGTGGGTGTTTCTCTCCAGAGGTTGACAGTGTTCAGATCCTCACTAGCATGGCCCCTTCTTTTGTCTACAGATTCGTGGTACAGATAAAAGCAGCGTAAGGGAGTTACACATCGCATATCGGTATGGAGAGCACTACGACAGTGTTCGGAGGATCAATGACAACTCGGAGGCACCTGCACATCTCCAGACGGATGTGAGTGAGGCCTCGGTTTTCTCTCGTATTCTCAGCCCTGCAGGAAACGGGTCGAGAGCTGGATATCTGGCGCTAAAAACCCGTGATGATTTTGTGGAAAGTTGGCGTTAAGAATCTGTGGGCCTGATTTTAAAAATATTTTTTATTTCTTAGTTTGGGTGAGAGTGATAGATAAAATTGCTTATTATTTTGCTTTTTCTGATAGTTGATAGTTATGATTGTGTGTGTATAAGATGCATGGAATTTTCAAATTATTTTTATGTTTTAAAATTAATCTACACTTTTTTT